TTAGGCATATTACAATCATATATTTATAGAATGTCATATACGGAAAGAATAAAATAATATATATTGGTCAGACAATAACAACGGTTACCATGACAAAATAGCAATATATTATATTTTATTCTCTCACCGGCTTAATACTATATATTTATGTCCTTATCTCTTTTTAGTGTTGCATTTTCATTTCATCGAGTTTCAAATCACAACGATTCTAAAGAAGTTTCACTTCAATAAAAATGAAAGTTATCTAGGACGTACCCGAGCGAAGCGACGGGAAGTCGCTAGTAAACCATAATACGTAGATACGGAACGAATGACTTAAACATTCTATTTTTAGCAAGAGACGGGAAACGCTCGCCACTGCAAACACTTACAATCGGCTACATCGCAATGAGTCTAAAGTATATTTACTAGAGGATTAAGCAATATTTATACCAAAAAACCGGAATTCGGAAAAAAACAACACGTTCAACAGTTGACTGAGCTTACTTATTTATACTGAGTTAATCCTACGAGATAAGAACAGGCGTTACACTACATCCAGAAGATAAAGGAAAACTTTTCGTTCGAATTTGGCAGATGTAAATAGGAACTTGGCAGTATAACAGTACCAAATGCAGTACGAACAAGCTAGAACATGTTAAGAGTACTACTAGAATGTATAAACACGATATATTATGTACTATACATATATACTTTTGTTGTGATTATTTTTGTTAAGTATAGTCAAAGTAACCAGAATACTTACTGGTCACTGCAAACTCAATAAACATATGTTTACCCTCGGCCTCAGTCAGACCGCAATGTGCAGACTATGCCATGAGACAGAGGAAACTGCTATGCATATCCTCTGCTCGTGCGGTCCACTCATGCACCGCAGAAGTATCTATCTAGGGCAGCATATTATGCAACCGGAAGAGATACAGATGCTCCCCGCTCAGAAAATCTGGAAGTTCCTGGAGTCAACAGGACTAAGCGGAGAACTTTGAACTCACTATAAAGGGAGCTACAATGGACCAAAACTGGTCGACGTAGCTAGGGCCGACCTCGGCACCACACCCAACATTAATAATAATAATAATAGTCAAAGTAAATAGTGCTGGTTTATGATTTCAAGTCCATACAGTGCATATTTATACTTATAAATGGAGAGCCGATTTTTTTGTTCGGTTATACTGCGATAACTACTGAACCGATCGGAATAATATTCATGCCATAAGATGCAGCGTGTTTCGAAGAAGGTTTTAGTATATGATATGTTGATGATTAATGCACTATGCGGGCGGAGCCACAGGAAACGCTATGTTATAATAATCTATTCCGAACTCTACTTATGAACTTTATTTCTATTCCTTCAAGATATTTTCATGCAATTTCACTCAAATTCGTTCGGAACAAAAAATAGTGACAAACACACATCTACTCATCTATACTAATATTATAAAGAAGCAGAGTTTGTTTGTTTGAACGCGCTTATCTCAGAAACTACTAAACTTTGATTGAGATAATCTCCCTGTGTAAAAAGTAGCCTTCCATCTATCTCAACACAATAAATCACGCCATTGCGTTATTCCGTTTCGACGTGAAAAAAAGACAGACAAACAAACAAACAAACAAACAAACAAACAAACAAACAAACAAACAAACAAACAAACAAACACACTTTCAGATTTATAATATTAGTATGGATATATTCATTAAAATCTCAGTCGTAATCGACGAAGATATACACCACATGTAAATTACACAACATGTAAATATATTTCCGTCACTTAAAAAGTTGGTTACAAAAAAAACTAATGCAAGTAATATCTCAGAACTTGACAGAATATTTTACATCTATACATACCTATGAACGAATTGTGGCTTATTCGTTCATGGTTAAAGGTAAGCTACTGATATGATTCTACAAAATTCTTGCACTATTTAAACTAGCTACTTACCCACGTTTCGCTCGGATGCAACCCTAGGTACCTACTAGGTAGCGGAATTCTTAACTCACTCCTTATAACATCAGGTATCTGCCAGTGAAAGTCCCGTCAAAATCAGTCCAGCCGATTTGGAGATTAACCGGAACAAGCAGACAGACTGACAGACAAACAAAAATTTTCAAAATTGTAATTTTCTTATATTATGTATCGTAAATAATTTCATATGCATTTAGTAAAAAGTTGTTATATTGACATTATAAAAAGTCACTTCAATTTTATTTAATTGTATAGATTAGCATTCTCAGAACCCTAACAATAGTCTATGTATTACTCGTACATAAGACTATGTACGAGTAATCTGGTTGCTATATTTCATCTAAATTGGTCCATCCGTCTCACCATGAAGTAGCAACAGACATACACAATGCCTAAAAACTTTTGCATTTCGCAAGTAGTCCAATTAGTTACTTTGAAACAAGCTCTATAATATCCATTATTCACTAGCTGTACACGCGGCTTTGGCGGCTTTCAAACTTCCGATGTAAACATCAGTTTTACAATAATGTACCGAAAGTCTGCCCGATTTGTTAACATTTATGATTACTGCTCCGCTCCCTTGGGTAATAACATGATGATATATAGCCTATAGCCTTCCTCAATAAAAAGGCTATCTAATGCAAAAAAAAAGAATTGTTCAAATCAGATTAATAGTTCCTGAGATTAGCGCGTTTAAACAAACAAACTCTTTATAATATTAGTATAGATTAAGAATATGCTACAATAGCTAGTGCAAAATAAAATGACAGTTGCGAACAACATTAGTTTTAGCAATATCCTAAATCTAGCGATAAAGCCTCCATTACACACACGTCAACCCTTTTCTAGTCGACGCCTTCACACCAATCTTTTCGCTGATGTTACACTCAAATTATAACTACATCTGCCGCATAATAAGTGTATGATGAATGGCATCTCTTATCTACCCTATTCTTATTGACATATCCATCTCCTGAAAGATCGCTCGCTATCAGAAAATAAATCTTAGGCAATGATGCGAGCTCGCAAAATATCTACTGATTCAAAAATTATTTTTTCATGTCAATAGCTATATTTTGAAAGGATTAAACACTTTATTTTGATACTTTAATAATTTTTAAAAGAAATAATATAAAAATAATTTTGAATTTAATTAAATTGATTTTTAAAGGTTTGTGATTTTTTTTAATGTTGTAATTATTATATAATAGGATATTTTAGAGCTATCAATTTTGCTATGATCAAGTATATTCAAAAGAGGTCTTGAATTCGAGATTCGTTCGTAACGCTACGTTTTCTGTTCCTCTTCACAAGCTGTCATAACCCAGTACGTGCCTATAAAAATATTTCTACGTACATTGTAAAAAAGATACATATTTCTACGCGAAATATGTATAGCAATTCTTTTAACGCAGAAAACGCAGCACAATTTCTCGTAAACTAGATGCTGCAGAACATCAGTTTTCATCAAACTATTTCTGAGGATATTGAACAAGTTTCAACTCGACACAGTTAATTGCATCACATGGTACATTTTTGTGCCGCACTGAATAAACCTTTGACTTTTTACATTGGAGTGTAAATTTCAAATCTGCAACATTTATAATGCCGTAGCGTCGGCTTAATTGGTGCAGAAGCCTTTCAAATATAAGCAGCGATAAACTGGTAAATTAAAAATTCTGTGATTTATGTAAAACTTATTTATAAAGTTACATTTTAATAAGGCAGTGGTAGCCCAGTGGTAACGCGCTCGCTTGAGAAACCGAGTGATGCGAGTTCAAATCCCTGGTCTCGCACCTCTGATATTTTCATATGGGAATCATTTCCAACATGATTACTATTTGTTTTAACGCTGAAGGAAAACATCGTGAAGAAACCTGCATGTCTGAGAGAACCTAGCAAGTTTTCGAAAGATATGTGAAGTCCGCCAACCCGCACTTGGCCAGCGTGGTGGACTGTGGCCTGATTCTCCTTGTACTGAAGGGAGGCCCGTGCTCAGCAGTGGGGCGTTAAAAGGGGCTGAATACATAATATTTTAATAACGTCGAATGATTCATATATAAATCTTTTTCGATACTTCTACGGCAAACCGATACAACATTTAATATTTTTTATTGGTTTAACCTGGTATGAAATAAAATATAAAATTATATTTTTGTTTTAAATAACAGCCACTTTGACATATTATTTTGAATTTCGAATAACTTCTTTCGCTCTTTCTGGCCAACTAATAACTTGCACTATCCATAATATTATAACCTAGCATCATGGTAACTTGGCCTGGTGGCTTTACATAGACGCCTCCTTAATTACTATTTACTACAGTTTGTGTTTGTAGTATATAGTAGATGATTATAAAGGGAACCTGTTACGTGGAAATATACCCTAATATAAATTGGTTCATGGGCTAAATAAAGCGTTAACGTCGGTTATGCGAGAGTTTATTTAACAATAAATCGGCACTGGCTGAAAAACTACGAATTCTATATAGAGTATTTATGAATATAAAAATTGGATTATAGGTACACAAAATATAAACAACTTAATATTTTTTGAAATACATATGTATTAGTCTAACTTTAAAGGCATTTTCTTTTAAATTCCTTATTAACCCCCGACGCAAAAAGAGGGGTGTTATAAGTTTGACGTCGATGTCTGTCTGTCTGTATGTGTGTGTGTATGTCTGTGGCATCGTAGCTCTCAAATGGATGGACCGATTTCGATGCGATTTTTCATATGAAAGCCAGTTTCCTTGCGGTGGTTCTTAGCTATGTTTGTCCAGCAGTATAAGAGTATCAGCTCTTTTCCAAAATGATGTAGGGCATTTTAGCATGTGATTACTCGATTAAGTGCTTCACGCGTGCCAGTGTAATTGTTAAATGACAAATAATTTACGTAGGGGTTTTTTTTTAAATTTCTATTGAAATTAAAGTTTTCTTATTTATTTCTGCGCTACGAACTCTAGTAACATTCGTAGGCTTTAGCTATGACATGGGCCACAGTAGCAAATATGTACTCGATCTTATTTGTCCGCAGGTCTGTTACGTCTACAGCAGCTGTATCAAAGTTTGCAACCAGGAAAAGCCACATTTCGCATTACCAATGTAAAACGAGTGTCTAATGCATCGGATGTCATCACATTTCTCGTCTCACTCGAGAGGATCGATCGTTGGAGCAACAAATACGTGGTATTAGATTCTGGAACTCAACTGGCGAAAGATGTACTCATTTTACACGTCCGTGATGTGCAACTTGGCCGACGAAACTATCATTATTTTTTAAGTGGTCTGGTGAGTAGATATCCTACCAGTCATCGTTAACCCACTGCAGTATCTCCAAACTACCCACTTTCAGGTATTATACCGAAAATTGAGATTGTTAGTACTCTAGTACGGCTGTAATTTTTATAAATGGATTTCTGTTATGGAAGTACGGTAATAAAATGGATATAAAGTGCACCGAATGCAATTTCGTAGTAGTATTTGGATAATGTTTTCTGTTTTACAAATATTAGTGTATTGGACGATTAAATTCGATTTATCGTAAGCTTATTTGCTACTTTCGATGGTAGTATTTGTATACTACATATTTCTTTGGAATTCACACAGATATTCGAAATTTAAGTTAAAAGTAACACCATTATTGCTTATTTTTTAAGGCAATTCATACATTTATGTATATGATGATAATAATTTATTAAAATAAAGAAATTGTTCAAAATATATTTGTAGTATATAAATAAATAAAATCATATATAATTTTAATGTTAACATATAAATGTAAATTAATTTTTCAAAGAATTTAGTCCATTTTAAGCTTTATCTGTTTCTTTCATCATATAACACACAATAATAAATGATAAATATGTTGGGACATTAACACACAGCACCATCTAGTTCCATGGTCAGCTACGAGGCCTGTGTGATGAATACCAGATAGTTGATACACTACACATATATATTATATAACTTAAAATACATACATATAAATATAAGCACCCATGGCTGGAGTACAAACATTGGAGATCATCACACAAATGAATGCTCCCACCGGGACTCGAACCCGCGATCGTTGGCACAGCAAGTATAGTCACTACAAACTGAGCCAAACGTGTCGTCACAATATACTTTGATAGAGGGTGATGAAAATGGCTTACGCTAAACTTACTTATATCTTTCTACGAGAATCGATAATAGTCCTGATGGTTCCAAGCATTTAAAAGAAACTGAGAAGCTACTGTACTATAGTAAAAGTATATAATAGTCACTAAAAGAATAAATAACAGACATCCTAATAATTGCCTACACACATTTCCATCACATGCTCTAAATGCTAAGAATTGTCATTATTAATTAAAACACAATAGTTGTTGGTAACTTCAATCCACATATATGGAGATTCAATTCAAAATCACACTGAATACGATGTTTAATTAGAAGGCTTCAGATAAAATCAAAAAGAAATAACGTAATAAAAAAAATTCATAATATCTTATCACTAGCGATTCACCTTCGCTTCGCTTGGGTTCGTCCTTAGGTACGTTTTAAAGGTTAGTATGACATAGATTATATATTATTCATATATGTATCATATTACATAGCCTATAATTACTGCAATTCTCATCATCGCATTTATAGATAAGGAGTTCAATATCTGAACAAAAGATCATCCGGTAAAATTAGCATTACTAGTAAGCATCTAATATTCTTTCTAAATCATATTTATATGAAAGTTCGTTAGAATATTTTGCATTAAAAATTATTTGTAACACAAAATATATAGCCATAGCTCACTAATGTGTATAATCTGGAAAAAAAAAAACCTAATAATGATATTAACTTAATAACTCCTTAAACTAGAAGCACTAAATGTTACACCTTATTTATACTTCTACGAGTATACTTATTATAAACTACGAGTATATTATAAAGAGACAGAGTTTGTTTATTTATTTGTTTGAGCGCATCAATCTCATAAACTACTAATACGATTTAATTTTTTTTTACATTAGATAGCCCGTTTATTGAGGAAGGCTACAGGCTATATATCACTCAATACATAGTCTATCTATTCCATACAATTCGTTAAAACGTACCAGGAGACGATCCCAAACGAAGCGAAAATGAGCCGCTAGTACGAGTATATTGAATGCAAAAGAAAGTTTTTTTTAAGTTATCTCTTAAATGTTATTTAGAGGACTAAAGTTATCGTTTTTAAGTTAAAAATATGGCATAAAAAATATATTTCACCTACTCATTATATTGTCCTTGGAAATTTTCATAGGACTTAGTGCATGGATCTGCTTTATCAAATGTAAATTTTAACAAAAAATCTACCTGATGTTAATTTACATTGAGAAACTAGTACGTACTCGTATAGCAACGGCCTTTGGAAGATTGCTTGAAAACGTTTGCGCAAGTGCGTAAAAGGGTCAACTATTCTCAGTATAACTTTAATTAGGGGTGGTTTAAATTTACGCCTTGTTTCAGGTGATGGATGATCGTTGGGAAAAAGATGTAACTGAGTTTGGTGCAATTAACATCACTGGTTTCCGGGTCCTTGACCTTTCTAGGAAGTTTGTCAAGAATTTCATCGATCTCTGGCGCCGTGATACCATTTCGGTAAGCGATATGTAAATTATTACTAATAAATATTATGATCCCAATTTCATATGAAAATTCAGACCCAATATCCCCAATACCCTCTTTGCGACATATACTTATAACTACACATAGCGAGTTTTACGCAGATTATGTACATATTAGTGAAATCAAACAGCTAATTAATGTAAATTATTATATTAATATGCTCTGTATCCTATATCTAAGCCTACTCAGTCTGTCCATCCATCTGTCCTACCTTAAAATAACTGCTGAAATATGATATTTACAAATAAAACTATATTTTCCGATTATTTCGCGGATTTATTTTGATTTTTGGTTCCCGACGTTTCGAATGCTTTACAGCAATCATGGTCACGGGAGAGACTGAGGTTTCAAAGATCTCAAAGGCGTTATAACGCCTTTTGCCTATTGGCTGTATATATACCACCAAATAAAAATCCGAAAAGATAATTTTATTTAAAAATTCAAATATTCGCATAAATCTAAAAAAGTATGATGATACTTATAATATTACAAATAAATAAAATATTATTATTATATTAACTATAAAACACCTTTTTGACCAAATACATATTACCAAAGGTGGGAGACTTTACTAGTAGGCACTGAAAAGTTTCACCATCTTTTTAAGCTTTTGGCTTCATCAGATCAGTGGTATGGGTGGATCAAGTCAATGAAATAAAATCCTTAAAACTTCATATAGGCACAAACAAAGTATAATAATGACCGATGTAATATGTGAAAATAGGTTAAAATTAACTCCCAAGATTTAACTACAAATGTAGTTCCTAGTATAAAAAAGAAGAAGAAAGAGAGTAGTAAAAGAAGAGAGGTAGAAGCCAATAAAAGATATATTATAAAGATATATAAATATATTTTTTAAATTCTTATTTTATTATAATAAAGATTTATTTTTTTGCAAAAGGATCTTGTAATAGCAGTGATCTAAACACAAAATCTAAATTGCTACGCTCATATCTTTATACACAATATATCATCCACGCCACTCGAAACGCGAATGCTCTAATAAATGTATATTAGATTTCGTCAAATGATAGGAAAATCAATACACGATAGACTCAAGGGAACAATCAAGATCCCTTGCAGACGCGAAGAAATTCATTAACATTCATCTCGAAAGGAAGGGGTCACTAAAAACAGGGGTGTAGGTTAGAATTACATATTTACGTGTTCGTAATATCAAGGGGCAATCCAAGTTGGGCACGTTCCCAAATCATTATGAAATTCTAATTAAGCATTCAGTTGGCGATCTTAACAAACAACCGACCTTTTTTTTTCAAAATACAACGAAACAGCTTGCTATTAAACGTATTTGTGTATTAGATATCAGACACACGTGTTCACTTAACTATTTTCAAAATTTGATTAGTTTTACCCAACAAAATCATACTCGAATATACCATAACCTTCCTTCCTTTTCCTTTGTCAAGCCATGGTGTAAAACTATTGAACGTATACATTGACCAATCGACGCAGGATCGACTGTAGATGGTTTTGAGCTAGTTATTTTTTGAATTCCAAACACTCCTTACCAAAATTTTTTATTTAATTTCATAAATATTTCTTTCCACCAATAAGAAAGACGTTACAATTTTTTTTATTCATTTGTTTTTTTTTAGTTTAACCTAAATCTAACATAAACTTAACATTTAATTTTAACAAAATTAACATTTAATTTGTATACGTAAAACCTATATAAGTACATTAAGATCTCTGAATACCAAAATAAAGATTTACCTACGCCCAGCAAAGCGGGCGGGTGAGACTAGTATAATAAATACAAACGAAATAACTATATCTTAACTAATAGAACTTATCTCAAAATCACTATGAAAATTATTATTTTTCCTCAGTAGTGGATGTTTTGGTGATTTTTTATTTATTTATTTTTTATTTATGAACTTATGAAGCCATAAGATATAACTTTTTTTATTAAAAATGTCTTAAAAATATCGACTTACAAATATATATATATATATATATATATATATATATATATATATATATATTTATATATATATTTATATATATATATATATATATATATATATAACATATAATTAACGAACATAACGCGTAATATTCAAATAATAAAAAACATACGACGGATAAAATAGCTCTTCGGATTTTTAAAAAACGGACATTCCTGTCCATTTTCAGACAATTTATAAAACTATTTTGAATATCTAAACCATAAAAATGACTGACATCTGAAGGACATAATATAGAAACAGCAGTAGTATAAACCACAGTACCAAAATATGAGATAATAAAAAATAATTATACACCCAAATATATTCATATATATATATATATATATATATATATATATATATATATATATATATATATATATATATATATATCTCTTCAGAACTCGTATAACAAATGCTTGATTAAATATGATCTATGTTGTGTCGACATATTGTCAACGACAATAGGTACCTCGGTCGAGTAGCGTGTACAACTTCCAATTGAGTGCTATTTGTAAAGTTTGAATTCAGTTTAATCAATATCAATAGCGCTGATATATTTATAAGTAACTAATATAAAAATTAAATACAAAATATCATCATATTTTTTTTATATTAACACACAACACCATCTAATTCCATAGTAAGCTACGAGGCTTGTGTTATGGATACCAGATAGTTGATACACAATACATATTATAAAATTATAAACACCCATGACTAGAGTACTCATCACATAAATGACTGAAATGACACAAATAAATGCCCCCAGCAGGACTCGAACTCGCGATCGATGGCACAGCAAGTAGGGTCACTACAAACTGAGCCAAATGTGTCGTCAAAATATATAATAATCAAATATTATGTAACTTACTCTATAAGAAATATTATGTGACCTAAACGAAAATTCAATTATCGGTAAAAATTTTAGCGGAGCACTCCTCCATACTAGATATTCACATATGTCTGCCCTTTCTTATGACTTTAAACATTTTATATTAAATTTAAATATATATATATTAATAAAGTGCGTGTGTGTGTAATTCACATATAGAGTATCAGGAGTAGAATAATTATAAGGTTTATTTCTTTATAATATTTTTACCAAGCTTAAAAGTTATTTTACATTTTATTTGACATAAATATACATTATATATTATTCAGTAATTAATTATATTATTTTTCGCTTCCTGTGTAATGTATTCTATCTCAAATAATTAAATAAGATATACGAGGCATATTACAATCATATATTTATAGAATATCATATACGGAAAGAATATAATATTATTTGTTAGACAATAACAACGGTTACCATGGTAATATGGCAATATGTTCTATCTCATTCTCTCGATGGCTTAATCCTATATAGTTAAGTGTTTGTCTCTTTTTAGTGTTATATTTCCGTTTCATCAAGTTTCAAATCCCAACGATTCTAAAGAAGTTTCATTTCAATAATAAAATACAATTCTTTTAAATACTGGCTTGTTTTCAGGCTCAGGCTGCTCTGATGTACGATACAGTACAGGTTCTTGTCGATGCCATCCTTCGTATGCTACGCAAGAGACCTGACTTCCTTCGTGGAACTTTCCGTCGCGCCAACGGTAGCAGTGTTATTGACTGCAACCCGAAAAACCAAATTATACCATATGAGTATGGAGAGAGGATTTCTCGCATCATCAAACGAGTAAGTTGAAATTCAGTTTTATATACGAAATAAAACAATTTTCGATTATTTATATTTATTTATATACATGTACTATGGGAAGTGAAGTTAAAATATATTCGAAGGTTGTCTTATTTCATCAACTTCTGGGGTGTTTCCAAATAATTTACATCTTATTAATAAACATCGAAAAGTAACTAAGCTTAAAATTTAGATAGCTCAATATCATATTCTTTCATAAGTCGCTTTTTGTGAGATTGATATAGTTTCAAATCTAGCTTCAATTCGACGGTTAAAATTTATAATTTTTATCAACGACTCACACCAGAAGGATTTATGGACGCTATATTTATTTTTCATGGCGAAATTATTCCATTCGATTTTACTACAGCATATTCTTTCCTCGGGAGATATTTAAAATTCCCTATTGCTTATGCGAATGAATGATGCCAATTCATATATTCAGTGACTGCGAGCGAATGCTTCATTACATTTCTCAATCGAAGTTTACAGAGAATATAAGAATGCTTTTTAACAAAAATATTACTTTTTTGGTCTTCACACACTGTTGAAGTGTTTGTTGGCCGTGAAGGATAAAATTTGGCCAAAAAATAAAAAATATTCATATCGTCATTTGATAAAATATTTATACAAAATTATCAGTACAAGAAATATAAGTATAGTGTTATACTCATGATGTTGCGCTCTTCTGCTACGGCTGGAATATACTCGACATTTTACCAGTTGATACAAGAAGACTTGTTCCTTTGTTGATAAAATCCTTTAAGTACAATACGTTACGAGTGGATCGCGTCCAGTTTAGTTACTCTGCTTCAAATAAATTATTCAGTAACATATCAGTTCACATGGATAGCTCATTTTAGAATTTTATTGAAAATATAAAGTACTACAGAAAATGTAATTAAAAGATTTGATATTATTTATTATCTATATAGGTATATATAGATATTTGATGATGATGATTGATGATATGATCATTAGACAATGAAAAATATACGAGAATATGGCTCAGTAACGTAAAAACTTAAAAAAAATATTCAAGTCGTCTTTGAAGTCCTAAAAATAAACGGGAATTTTTTAGTTAGCTATTTATACCTAATCAGATGTTTTTGGTATGGATGCCAAACTTAAAATGAGCCTATTTACACAAGAATCAAATGCTTTTATTCGAAGAAAATTAATTATATCGAAATTAAAAAAAATATAACTAACTATATCTAGCATATACAATATACATACATATGTATATACATATAAGTGGGCAAGAGGGAAAGACATAAGCACTCACGAGTACCTCTTGTTTTGTTGAGCGTAGTGACATGAATATTTTGTCATATCAAAATGTTATTCCATTCTTACCAAGTAATATTAGAAAGTTGGCAAGTTAGAATAAGATATTATAATATACCGGTATCTGTATGGAATAGAAAACCATGAACCATGAAGAGATGAAAAGAAAGTATTTTTATATTATCTTGTAGAATATTTTATCCATTTCTTCATTTGAAACTAAACTGAGAAATGAGAATATAGATACAAATTTAAAATAAAAAAAATTTAGAACGACAAATTAGCCCAATCCAATTGATAAAATAATATCTAACCAATTTTGTGCCAAAAGTTGATAAGGGTATTGAAATCGTAAAAAATATGATAATCAATTCACAATAATTGATGATTAATGCGAAACATATGCATAAAAAAATAGTCGATTTTAATAAATAAATATGTTGGGATATTAACACACAGCACCATTTATTTCCACGGTAAGCTACGAGGCTTGTGTTATGGATACCAGATAGTTGATACACTACACGTATATAATTTTAAATGCATACATATTATAAATAAACAGCCGTGACTGTGACAAGTTGTTCTCATCACATAAATTAATTCCTCCAGCGGGTATCGAACCCGCGACCGCTGGCATATCAAGTACACTCATCTCATCTCTCATCAGGGTCTCTACAAACTAAGCCAAACGTGTGTTAAATTTAATATGACTACCTCCGTTATAAACTATTTTTTTAAACTACCGAATTTGAAAAACTTAACATTTTTCCCTTTGCAATATTTTAGTAAGAAGATAAAGATTGTAAGTCGTTCAATCGTATCATAAAATTTCAAGGAATATAGCTAAAACTTAGGTGACGAGAGGCGAGGATATTACGAACCGTTTTCTTTGTTCTGTAAACATTGGAACGTCTTACATTCCACTGCCTTAACGTTGTACTGCAGTACAATAATTGTGTTCTGCTCTTAGACTTGAAAAGAGATTAGGTTTTTTTGAATTTTTAAAATTTTAAAAGAGCAACTGTTGAGTTTCTAGTCGATTCTTCTCAGCAGAACTGCTTTTCAAGCCGTAGTATGGTAGCTTCCTCACGGACTGACTACACTGACGCTTTCATTAAATTGACGATTCAAAAGCACTTGTAATAAGATTAATTGGTAAAGTTTATTTCGTTTCATTTCATAAAACGTTTTATGTAAATTCCTTATTCTTGTTATTAAGTAGATGAAAAATGTTAGCAGTGTAGATGGTATGTGCAAAGAAATTATGATCTTACATTATGATAATTTGTAGGAATGCTCTATATTCTATAAAAAAATTATATACGAAATAAAAATCTTATGGATTTTTGAAGAGAAATATAACTTCTCAAAGCCTCTTGTTCCAAAAAAAACTTCAAAATTCAGGTGCTAGATCACAAAGACCTTTTAGAACAGAGCTAGCATCCAAAAATGGCGAATTTTATCCCATTTTTCATATATATTAAATAGACCCGAAATTTAATTTGCCGAGCAATTTTTCCGAATCAATTTTGAGTCTGCGAGCCTGTAGGAACCGAAATAAGGTTGACCATTCACTATATAGCTTTAGATATTACACGATTTCTTTCATTTCTTACATAGATATTCAGCTCCGATAATAATATCTTTAATTTTAATTACTTTCTTGTTTAATTTCCTATACCAATCATATTTAAAAGCGCATTCTTAAAAGTACGGTTTATATTATATTCGATTATTCGCTGATTGGTCGAATTTATTATCATTTTATATATCTCCACTTTTTTGTATAGGTAAAAAAAACACCTGCTCACAGACAGACCAACCCAGACTCTTTTATTACTCTAAGATGAGTTAATAACATAATGAAAAATTATAAATATTCATATAGTGTAGTCGTGAAATGGTATAAATCAGTCAAACATATTATTTATTATGTGACTAAGTCACCGGTTTTTCACTGCATGAAAACTACTTTCATGAAAATATTTGTAAATATATACATACAAATTTTACAAGTAACACAAACAATATATTACGATTAAATTTGTTATAAGCAGAATCTAAAGAAATACTGATTAAATCTGAAGAAAAATAGCGCAAAATATATATAGATGTTAGCAAAGTATCAAGATATGCAGTGATTTTCACGTGTCCATCTCTCAAAACTGTAACAGCAATAGTTAAATAGGTAATAAACAAATTTAATTAATTAATAATCATAAATACTTTTTAAAATTTAAACATAAAAGGGCTAAACTTGGTAATTTAAACTATAAACAGTGGAAAATTGTACAAGTTCGATCCCTCAGTAGATGAATAGCCTAAGGCTGGATTCGAATTAAGTGGAATTATACAAGCGTACACAGGTGTCGAAAATGGGTCCGATTTTTTATATTGAGTGCGCAGTGGTTGAATATACGGGACGATTAATTAAGTTGAAAGTGTTGAAGAAAAATGAACATCATCTAAATTTTATTTACCAACAACACTGTAAATGATTGTATCATATTTGTTGTTCAATCGAAGCTTCTAATTGTATAAATGCTATAAGTTTATGTTATTTCCATCATATTATGGAGTTTCTCACATAATATTGAAAGCAGGTAGATATTTTATTGTTTGCTGCAGACGGAGATAGATGGCTTGACTGGACCCATCCGTTTCAACGAAGCTGGTCACCGGCGAAATTTTACTCTGCAATTGATTGAAATGACTGATAAGAGAGAGATGGTTAAGGTAAGTCATCTTTATATTTCTACATATTATAGTAAAACGTGAATATACCTAATAGAGATTTCAATGTAACTTAGTTATGTTAGTATTGTATAGTATAGTTAGTGAATAAGGCTTATAATACTGTCACGGAATGCTTCGCAGATATCAATGTGTGGAACTAATGTCTGGTTGGGTCTCATGTAGTATAAATAGATATATATATATTACAATATTGTACACAAATATTATTTTAAAAGAGCTACTGTTGAGTTTCTCGCCGGTTCTTCTCAGCAGTACTGCCTTTCCGAGCCGGTGGTACATTCCTCACGGACTGACTATACTGACATTTAATTTAAATTTAAAATGTAAAATTGCCGATTCAAGAGTGCTTGTAAAAGTCTATTTGAATATAATTTGATTTGATATGGCCTAGTCCATATTTGGAACACTGAGAAGAACGCTTAAAATAAACCAGTGTTGATTTTTTGTACCACAGACAATAATTAGTGCATCATATGTACAGTTATAAGATTGTAATGGATCTAACTAATTATTATAAAAAATAAAAGGATAATGCAACCTCTTGCATAAACTAGCGGTATCCTTTTAAATTTTTTTAAAAGAAAAAAAAAGGTGTCATCAAGTTGTATGTTTTTATTATAAGTTTTATAATTATTATTTTTCAATATAACAAATAAAAATAATAATTTAAATGTAAAAACTCTTTCAATCTTTAATTTGTTTTTTTTAACTTAGTGATATATTTAAAGACGAAGTAATTTAAGTTAATTTATAATGAAAAGCATTTATACGACTTATCATTTATCAATTTTATACATTTTGTACTGAATAATACCTAGTAAGTAGAGTTTCTTATTAAACATTGCACTTCAGTTATTAGTATCCAGAGCCGAGTAACTAAGTATGTGATTGTAGTGCAAATCTGATTTGAGGGAAATGTTCCCACGCTGCACTCAGAGACTAACACCTTGTAGCATCCCTCTTCGTTATGTTTCAGTTGAATATTGAAATTTCGTAGTTTGGGTTATCCTAGATATTTTTGACCAAAACCACTTTATGCAAAGACTAATGATACGACTAGGCCGACCTCAATTCACATATTTGCCCGAAAAATTCCACCTTAGATATCTTATTAATCTTTTTAGATAGCGTTACTGTACCTTTTTTATTAAAAAAATTAGTTTATCAAAGTGTACATCTAATATTTGCGCTCTCTGTGCTATTAAATGAACAATTGATCTAGTGGTTTAAAAAGTGGTCCATTTCTCACTCTCCATCTATATAATGGACTAAATCCACCATACTTAAACGATAATAATAATTCATTTCTTTTAAAGTCCAATTGCCACTGAAGGGATGTCAGAATTCATATTTTCCAAAATTAATTAGATACGAACATACAAGTTTCCTCACAATGTTTTCCTTTAAAGGATTAGCATGTTGGTAATCATGCTGAAAATAATTGGCACATCAAAATGTTAGAGGTGTGTAATGCAGATTTATCCAGTCGAACATATTATCTACTTATCTTATTGGGCTTACTGTTTCTTTAGATACTTACAAAATATTATATTCGTTTAAGTATACAATTATGGTCATATAATTGCACACTGTTTTTTTCATCAGATCGGAACATGGTATGACAACAAAGGGCTGATTCCAATCTCAACCAAGTTCCCTGGTCTCAAGGAGTTGGGTTACTACGACCGAAACAAGACTTACATCGTAACAACCATAATTGAGGACCCATATGTGATGCACAGCAAGGAGTTTGTTGACCCAAATGCTAAGTATAGGGGCTTCTGTGTGGACTTGACTCATCTTTTGCTGGAAAAATTGGAAATTAATTGTATGATTCTTTATACTAAAATAACTTTATACTACAATGTTAATATTTCAACTATACTTATACTAGCTATTTGCCCTCGCTTCGCTTGAGTGCGTCCCCAAGTGCCTAATAGACTTTATATTACTCCAAGTTATAGTCCAGCCGTTTCATCGTAACAGACAGACACAAATTTTCGAATTTATGTGTATTAGTAGCCTGACGAAAATGCGACGAAATACAATTTATGATCTTTAAAAAAAATTGAACAAAGAAATTCAAAATAATAGCTTTTTACTAAATGAATATGAAATTATATAGGGCACGTATAAGAAAAACACAATTTTTAAAATTTTTGTTTGTCTGTTTTTTCCGATAATCTCCGAAACGGCTGGACCGACTATGACGGGACTGTCACTAGCAGATAGCTGATGCTGTAAGAAGTAACTTAGGCTACTTTTATTTTAGAAAAAGAATTATGGTTCCTCTCAAAGAATAATAACACGCAATCAAACGTACCTAGGGACGAACCCAAAGAAAGCAAGGGTCCCTAGTTTTAAAATAAATATACTACTAACATATTACACCATTTACTGTCTTGTAGTTGTTGTTAGAACTTTAGTGTCTACTTAAAGTGAAATAAAGACCTATTGTATTTTATAAGTATTTTGTAAGTTTGAAGTATGTTTTAAATGTCTTGATTATATTTTAAATAATAAACTATTTTCAGTTGAAATAAGACTTGTCAAAGACGATAAGTATGGCGCTGTGAACCCTAAGCTTGTCGGTGGGTGGGATGGCCTAGTTGGAGAGCTTGTGCGAAACGTGAGTATTTGTTCTTGTTTATAGAAGCTTCAATAATATTTCTTAAGTAAAATAATAGAATAATGATCACAATGTACAATTCGTTAAACATTTTACATAACCAGGCTGGAGAAGGTATTTATATGTACATACGTATATCAACATCTATACATATAATAAAATTGTAACTGAGCCGAATCTGTACATTAAATATTTTTTGGAAAATCTTATTGAAATAGACATTATTATCGATACAGAGGCCGAATCTATAGTTTTTAGAATTTTTGTCTGTCTGTCTGTCTGTCTGTTACCGCATTACAGAAAATCCACTGGAGGGATTTTGACGAAATTTGGTATGGTGATATCTGATTATCCGGGTCAACATATAGGATACTTTTTACCGCGAGAAAATGTCTGATTCCTGAGAAAAAATACAAAAATTGCAATGTCACATCTAAACGCGGGCGGAGCCGCGGGCAGTGCTAGTTTGTATATAAGAAAATAATTAGACTACGTAGAAAGAATGTAATATTAAACATCAGATTTTTATTTGGAAGCCTTAAGAAGAAAATTACTGGAATTGTTAACAAGGACGATATATGTATACGTGAAATTATTTTATTCCTTGAAACAATTCTTACCTTGTTGCTTATTACTGTTTATGTACCCTTGCCGTAATACTGCTCTTAAGTGGCTTCCTTTCTACAAAACTGTAGGTTGCGTCAGTAATAATCTTTATAGCATCTAAATGTTATATATATATATATATATATATATATATATATATATATATATATATATATATATATATATATATATATATATATTGTCTTTATATATATATATATATATATATAAATTTCTAAATTTAGAAATTTAATTCTATATTTAGAAAATTTTAGTCAAAAATACGACTTTAGCGTACAATTAAACTAGAAGAACACGAATTCGATTTCAATAAAACTTAAAACCAATTCAACTATTTCCATATAGTGAATTTACAACGATGAAATATCGATAGCTAGCAAATCTGTCCGACAGCCTAACCGTGTGAAAGCTAACCGTCAATTGTGTCTTTTGTCGGGCACCTATGCTATTTATAGTAGTCGCGATGACACATTTAAGTGCATTTGGACTTGATTAAATCTGTATCTGGCAAAAACGTGTAAATTTTAAAACAGAGTGCATTTATATTAAATACTAGCGACTTACCCTCTTTCCGTTCGGGTTCGTCCCTAGTTACGTTTTAACGTTTTAACAGTGTAGATTTCTCAGAGATCAGATATATTATTCCGTAGTAAAAAGTATCCTATATGTTGATCAGGATAACCAGCTATCATCGTATCAAATTTCATCAAAATCTGTCCAGTGGTTTGCCCGTGATGAGTTCCCAGACAGACAAACAGACAAAAATTCTGGAAACCATAGAATCGGCCTCTGTATCATTATTATAATTATTATTTCAATAAGATTTTCCAAAAAATATTTGATGAACAGATCGACTCAGAATTTTATTATATGTACCTATAGATTATGTGGTTCTTATCAAAACCCTCGTTAATGTATAACGATTATATATTTAGATAAGCTGACTTCAAGTTTACTTTAAAGTAAATAATCTATCCGAAGAATCGGAATAATTTTCAAAAAAAAATCTTACCACCGTATATAATATATATGTACATACATACGTACATGGAAAATATACAGCCGAATGGAGTACCTTTTAAAAATGATGAATGATTTTAAGATGCATTTACTTCTCTGAGTTTCTTTCTCCAGTTCTTCTCAGCTCTGAGGCTTCTTCTTTCCGAACTGGTAGTAGACTCATGATGTTCAGTAAAAAATTGTAATAATGTAATGCTGAATAAAAAAAAAAAATATTTTGAATTCTCAAAGAATTAATTATTCTTTTAACCCACTCAGAAGCTTAATCTCTTAAAATATTTTGTAGCACCACCTTCGTCATTAAAAAAAAACAATTACAAAATTCAACCCTTTGAAGTCCAGCGATTTGATCTGGACTTAGATAAATCAGTTGGAACTGGCAGTTTTTATTTATAAAATATCTAATTACAGATCATTATTATGTATAAAATATATAAATCTTTATATAAAAATTCCTTATAGCTCACTATTTTAGCCAAACATATATTTATGAACAATAGATGAGTATATTACAATATCAAAGACTCGGATCTGATATTAAAAATTCTAAATCAAAGCTAACGGACGCTAGCATCATTCATAAGCAATGACTTCCGCTTCCAATACATTAAGTGTTGCAAGACTAAGTAAAGTAATAGTACATCGGAAGCTTAAGTTTTTACGAAAGTTTCATTTGCATCCACTTACTAAGCTACTTTACAAAGACTGTCTGTACTATTCATAATCTCTTAAATAATGATTGAATAAAACATGATTTCGATTGAAAGTTCCATTAGCTATTTGAAAATTTTCATAAAAGCCGTATCGTAGTATTTATATCGCAGTTGTTATAGCACTGGTTACTTGGATATCTTCATTTCATATTAAAAAAATTGCTTGTTTGATTTTTGGTATTAGATACATATACAGATATAAATAAATAATTATAATATATAAATATGTTGGAACATCAACACACAGCACCATCTAGTTCTATATTAAGCTATGAGGCTTGTGTTTTGGATACCAGATAGTTGATACACTACATCTATATAACTATAAATACATACATACTAAAATATGGACACTCATGACTATATATAACAAGCATTCGTGCTCATTGTACAAATGAATGTCCCCAGCAGGACTCGAACCCGCGACCGCTGGCACAGCAAGTAGGATCACTACAAACTCAGCCAAACGTGTCGTCAATAGTAAAAGAAAATATTTTACATTTTAATCATATTTCTAAACATATCTTTGTTATATTACTTAAATATAATATTCTATCTATAATAATATCATCGTTGTCTAATAATAGGTTATCCTGAGTAATAAAATCAATCAATTCAAATGCGCTTCAAGATAGTAAGATATCTAGAATAAACCGTCTCATAACATCCTTTTACGAGAAATTGGCTCAAGTGCTGCATCACATTTAGCTTGCAAAGTATGAGACCCAGTTATACATAAGTGAAGCTACTGGGTGCAGTTAGATAAGAAGTTATTTATATGATTCCACATATTAAATGAAATAAATTATAGAATTTAAAGTTACAAAGGGATTTCTTTACATGCAACTATCACAGAAACCCTTTTATAATATACTGCTAAAAAAAGTTTTCCTATCATCAAAATGGGTGGTCATAGATTCGTTTCCTACAGGGAAACTAATAGATCAAATACTATATAATACAAGTGACTAACCCATGCTTCGCTCTGTTGCTTCCCTAGGTACGTTTTAAATATATATTATGAATAGTTATTGCTAGTGTACCTTAGGAGAAAGTCTTATGCTATTGCTGATTTTTTTGTAAGCATTATTAAGACGTACAATTTTCTAGGACATTGTTTTGATATAGGTATATCTTAAGGTAAACCTTGCGTGCCTGCGTTAGACATGGAAATTCCTAAAAACGACTCGATAGAACCAGTTACTGAGTTATCCCGTGGGAATGAAAGATTTTCCTGCAGTAAAAGATATCCTAAATGTTGAATTGAGTGATAAGTTATCACTACACAAAATTTAGTTAAAATCAGTTCTGTACTTTTTGCGTGAAATGCGTACGTGATTTCGCTAAGTTATTGTTTTTTTTTATATATAGATATAGATACTGCCTAGGAAACAAAAAAGTGGAGCACTTATTACACTTATTGCACTTATAATATTGTTTTAGACACTGTATATTATAAGTGTAAATTAAATATGTTTGTCTGTCTGTAACCTTTTTACGCTGAAAATGCTCTATGCACATTTTCATGTTTAGATGTTGATCGTACTGTAGTGTGAAAAAAGTCCATTGCACAAAATAACTAAACAAAGAAATGGTGTTTCAGAAATACGTTATTTAGTCATAGCCCAACTAGAAACTTAAACACTTACAATATTCGTAAGTTACATACGTGACAACAAAGCCGAGGAGATAAAGATGTTCTCACAAACATTAAATTTAGCATCATTTCAAACTTCTTACGCGGTATCTAAGTGGTCTACCTAATGTTTTACATATATAGTGTCGAGAACCCTAGAATGTCAAATACCGCAAAACCTAGCAGAAGTGTGTCACCGAATACCGCTCCAAATTTCCATAAAAGCGCCTTCAGAGTTGCTCTATTTTTGCTATCTCCAATCGATCAAAAATGATAAAATGTGAGGACGGAGCTTTTTATAAAAAAGACTGCTTGGACGGTTGTTTGACACAAGGACTTTTATTACGTGTTAAATATTAATATACGATGGATATTTGAATACGTTACATTTCCATTCAACGCGACGTAGAAATCTCGACGATGTGAATTCATTGTTTGTCACAGGCGTAAAGTTCTTCATATTTACATTGTATATAATAATACTATGTAGAAGTTAGCTTTTTTTACATATATATTTACTTATCGTTCAATGCTTTTTATATTTTGTTTGATTTGATTTCATACAGTAAGATAATAAAATGAAATATATCGTTTGATTTTCAAATAAAGTTTTCAAAGAAATTTTCAAAAGACTCATCTACTTGATTTTATAAACATTATACGAAATATGATGTATCATTTCACTATCTGATAAAGAAAAGAATATAATTTTTTCAATATTATAATTAATTTAACAAATAAAGTAGAAAATGTTTTATTTATTTTAACACTAGCGACTCACCCTCGCTCCTCTCGGGTTCGCCCCTACTTACGATTTAACATTTAGTATAGATTTCTCAGAGATGAGATATTTTCCCATAGTAAAAAGTATTATATATGTTGACCCGGATAACCAGCTATCATCATACCAAATTTCATCAAAAACCCTGCAGTGGTTTTTCCGTGATGCGGTCACAGACAGACAGACAAAAGTTCTAAAAACCATAGATTTGGCCTCTATATCAATAATAATATTGATTTCAATAAGATTTTCTAAAAAATATTTAACTTACAATTTTATTATATGTATAGATTTATCAAAGCCTTAGTTCATCTCCAGGTGACCAAAAAGACATAATTTTTTTAATGTTCTCAGGAGGCAGATATGGCTATTGCACCGCTGACTGTTACTTTAGAACGTGAAGAAGTGATTGATTTTAGCAAACCATTCTTATCTTTTGATGCTACTACTAAGAATGAGAACTTGCCGGATATTGCAACGATTTTCACTTTCTTGCGCCCTTTGTCTATGGAAATTTGGGTAAGTTAATGAATTTTGGTAAATGAGTAATAAATCATATTAAATACCTATATAAAAATAAAATAAAATAGGACCAATAGCAATATTTTAAAACATGCTTAAAAGACCGGGATATGAAAGCTTTATGTACATACACTTATATGTACATATATTAACATATAATATTATTATATTGCACAAACAAACAAACCGTTAAAATTGAAAAATTGACTTGACTATGTTGGCTAAATTTATAAATAATATTCTCATTTAGCTATTATCTTATTTATAAAGATAAAGTAAAATATACAACTAAGGTAGTTCAAACTATATATACGTCACTAGCACCTACTTTCTATACAAATACGTGAATGAACGCAAATGACCTACTAAAATTTCCAGCTAAATTTCGAAGTAATTAATTAAAATTCTAAGAAATCTATTGTTAACTGACACGCCGGCGTGTCCGCGGTCGTGGAGGGATTAATTTGATCTAAAGTTGATAGTTGATAAAAAATATATGAATTAAGTAAGATACCAAATAAAAAAATACTACAACATTCAGTCCAGCAAATGTCCCATTGCTGGACATTAGCTACCTGTCAATAAGAGAAGAATAAGTATATTTATTCGTAGGGAAAATGTGAGTTAGCGGATTTCACATGTGGAGTTTTTCTAATAATATTTTTCTTTACTGTTTAAGCAAATGATAATTATGACGATATATGGCACAGTGGTAGCCCAGTGGGTTCGGGTTCAAATCCCGAGTCTCGCACCTCTGATATTTTAATGTGCGAATCATTTCCAACATTATTGCCACTTGTCTTAACGGTGAAGGAAAACATCGTGAGGAAACCTGCATATCTGAGAGAACCAACAGATAGCAAGTTTTAAAAAGACATGTGAAGTTCGCCAACCCGCACTTGGTGGACTATGGCCTGATCCCGCTCGTACTGAAGGGAGGCCCGTGCCCACCAGTGGGACGTTAAAAAGGGTTGAATATATACATAAGCAAATGATAGTCATGGTGGAAATGAAAACATGAAAATTTGAGATATGGAAAACTTGGTTTTATGAACCCGCTTCCCTTATTTATGTAGACAGTGAACTCAAAATGGACCACGCTACTATACAATACATAATAAGACCATAATATTGTATTAATAATAACAATATTCTAGATTTTTCTATTATTTTCAGTTCTCGATCCTTGGAAGCATGCTCGGTGTCAGTCTCTGTCTGTTCCTTGTATCGAGATTTTCTCCAAACGAATGGCGCGTTATGTCGCTCACCGATAGTCACACCACTGATAACAATGAAATTGCAACTACCAAGGTAAAATTGCTGGATTTTGTAAGAAATATGTAGTAAGAAAATTTATTTCAAAAAGGAAAATATTTTGCTTATATTATGTTAACTTTATTTAGAATTTACTTTTAACTTTGGGTTTGAAATACAATGTTGATTACCTTGGATAGTTATATCCTCAGTTTGGTCTTTGGTTTGGTTCTGGCTCAGGCAAAAACGATTATCGACTGAAAATGTGTATGTTAAGAAATTTATAATGGCAGCTTAAAATTATCAATGTAACACCTTGCCACGGAGAGCACGTAAAGCTGTGAATCCTTCGCTTTATCGTTCATATGTGATATTTGTCCCGTCGAACTATGAAAATACATCACAGTAAAGAGTGCACCTGTCTTATCACTAGCTTGTATATCGTAATAACCACTATAACTTAATAAAATTGATCGTTATCAAATTAATAAGTAAGTAAGTATAAGTAACTGTTGGGACATTAACTCACAGCACTATCTATTTCCATGGTAAGCTACGAGGCTTGTGTTATGGATACCAGATAGTTGATACACTACACATATATAACTTTAAATACATACATATTATAAATATAAACACCCATGACTGGAGTACAAACATCGTGCTCATCGCACATATGAATGCTCCTAGCGGGACTCGAACCCGCGACCGCTGGAACAGCAAGTAGGGTCACTATCAACTGAGCCAAACGTGTCGTCTAATTATATAAAATAAAATGAAAATTTTCAAACCATTATATGTACTAACTATGACGATTATGTATACTTTTTCGAAATCTTTAAAAATGTCCAAACGTATTTTCCATTTTGTAATTAGATTCAATTTGTCGATATATATTTTTCCATAAAAAGTACATACGATGTTACTACTATTCAAAAATATTATTGTTTCTTACTCAAACATCCTTCTACAGACTACTGTGGTGAACGAATTTAGCTTTTGGAATTCAATGTGGTTTTCGTTAGGATCCTTTATGCAACAAGGCAGCGATATTACCCCGAGGTTAGTGAATATTTTAATATTAAATTTTTTTATTACGTATTACTTTGTTAATTACCTATATATACATTTTTAATCTGTACATTAAATATTTTTTGGAAAATCTTATTGAAATAGACATAACTATCGATACAGAGGCCGAATCTATAGTTTTTAGAATTTTTGTCTGTCTGTTTGTCTATCTTCTACCGCATCACGAAAAAATCACTGGAGGGATTTTGATGAAACTTGGTATGGTGATAGCTGGTTATCCGGGTCAATATATAGGATACTTTTTACCGCGGTAAAATATCTTATTTCTGAAAAAAAAGTACAAAACTACAATGTAAGAGTATACTAAGGTGTAAAACCTAAGAATTTGGTTTTTGGTCACCTGAACGCGGGCAGTGCCGCGCGCAATGCTAGATATGTATAAAACTTTATCTAGTTATCATTTAATTATCAAAGTATTGCCAAAATAAATAGTTCACCCAAATGTACTTTAAGAATAGAAGTTTTATCGTCTTTTAGTACATAATATTCGAAAACATGGTTTATATCATAGAATTTATTATTTCAGGTCAATTTCTGGACGTATTGTAGGGACTTTCTGGTGTTTATTCGCACTGGTGGTTGTTTGCACGTACACAGCGAATATGGCTTCGTATTTAACTATCACGCGTATTAATGAGCCTCTCCAAACTTATACGAGAGTGACGACTTGCCCAGAAGTAAGTAAAAATCATTTGGATATAGTATTTAAATTATTTGTTTGTAATTAATGCTTTTGTATATAAAAAAATAAAGTCGAATCTAATCTCATAAGTTAATGTAAGATTTAGTGAACAATTTGTACAAAATATTATGTTGGTCCAGATTTTTCATGAAAACGCTCTATATATGTACGGTCCAGATACCGACAAGTTGCAATTTTATTCAAATCGCTCGGTTTGTGATATTTATTATTTTTATTTTTATATTGTTTTGAATGTAGTGTTAAAATGCAGGTGCAATATAAAACATTTTTAACTGCCACACGTAATGGTGCAAATTTATAACTGTGACAACGGTTAATCTAACTGGATTTAGTATGCTCCCAACATTAGGGTTCCATTGATACAAACATACCAACCATACAATTTTACTTAACCATACATTCAAGCAATTGAATTGAATTGAATTTCCTTTGAGAAAAAGTTTCATTTATATGTACTCGTAAATGTAAATCTTCAATAAATCTGCGTATTTACTTATTATTATTGAATAAAGTTATTGGTGATATATCCAAAATCTAAGCTAATGTTGTAATATATGTTCGAACAAGTTAATTTCTGGTGTCAGTCTGACTTGAAAGACTATTTCTTACTTTGTATATATAGCCTGTTTATTCTTGGAGAATATATGCTATGCAATAACACAATAATATAAAACTTTTTCTCATTAATATTGAAATATAATAATTAATTATATAATTTACATATTTACTTAAGGACCATGTTCGTCGTCGTCCAGTTGAAGTTCACGATGACCCTGTCTGGATGGGATTTTTGTCAACTCAACAATTCATGGGACAAACTGATGTGAAAAAACCTTGCGAAATGATGATATCTGTAACACAGTCAGGAGTCAAAGACTTAGCTGTAGCCTTTCCTAAGGGATCCAAACTAAGGTGGGCTTAATCCAAATCTATTATAACGGCAATGCGAAATATGCGAATATTAATATAATATAACGATTAAAGCGTTGCATTGCGAATAGCCTAAGCGTACAAACAATATAAATGCCTGATCAATTACACATTTTTAATACCACTTTGAAATCTGTTGTATATGTGCATTGATTTTATTATGTTTTATTGTATTGGAAATTTTGCAACGTTCACAAAAGCTGATTTAACTGGCTCTATAGGTTTAAAGAGATAATACGAGTTTTAACAAAATAACTATATATTTGTTGCTTGCGCCTTTGTTTATTTATTGAAACAATACGTTGAGTGTTTTATAGGGATGGAGTGAATTTAGCTATTCAGGCTCTGAAAGATGATGGTGAATTGCAAACTCTTGTACGAAAATGGTTCATCGATAGCAAATGCTCTGCTGACAGTGAGGTGGGTAAAAATATTTAGGGACCATGTTTTAGCTACTTGTACTTAGAACTTGCTTGCACGAATTCTTTTAAGAGTTTACTTAACACATTTAGGTTTATGTCTGTCATCTTTAATTATGTTAAGTAAAAGATATGTTACATGTAAAATATAATATGTTGTATATTAGTATATAATTAATTTAGTGTACTTGAGTGATATTTGATATGAAAGTATTTATTAGGTTACCTAATTAGATGTTGCTAGAGAAGCTTAACACTTCAACTTCCGTTTTCTGTTATGTAAAACAATACTGATCCGTTCTATGACTTCGGAGATCGGAAATTAAAGCACGTCTTTTGCACTACTAATGTTTTATTGCTCTTGAGTCTTGGTTAACAAGAGTGATTTATGGAGATTCACTAAAACTCGCAGTATATGCACAGTTCTGATTAATTCAGTCTATGGGCACTAATTTTTATCACTTGATACACTTTCACTATGACTACACTTCACTTTTCTTTCTTTTTCACTTTTTCGTCCTTCTCAGTCTTCACTTAGCTTCGAAATTCAACTGATATCTCGACACACTGCCGGTATTATTATATGCATATACAAAGAACATTCTAGTAATCGAAAATTCTAAACCTTTCTAATGATTTCAAATATTTTGTTCCTCTCTTACTCTTACTTGACTCTTAACTGATCTTGTCTGTTAATTCATAACTTCTAGTAATTTTAATGCCTTTCTAGAAATGTTTTGTTTCTTTCTTACACACGGCAGTTTACAATTAACTGTCCTTGTCTGTTAATTGTCATGTGTTAACAACTGTTTTATGATGTATAAAGCATGCTTCAGACGTGTCTTTTTCATTATTATTTTTAGTGTAATAACACACTTCACTACACGCTAATAGGTTTTTAGTCTATACTAAAAAGCGGTATTATTTTATTACACTATAAGCAGTTATTTTCTAAATATATCTATTAGTATTCGATTAAGTATTTGACTATTTTGAATTTTAGATTTGTTTTACATATATATTATATTCCTTAAAGTAATAACCTCAAAAATTTCACAGATTCATGGCAAGGAACTAACACTGAATCAAGTAGCTGGTATATTTTACATATTGTTGGGTGGAATGGGCCTTTCGTTGGCAGTAGCATTGTTCGAATTCTTCAGACATGGACGCTCTGAGGCTGCTCGTGCGAATATTTCTATTCGAAGAGCTCTAAGGGCTAAAGCTTTAAGGAATGGCCGTGTTACTTCACCAGTACCACAAAGCGAAACTCAAGAAGAACAGGAACATATTGATTGGAACGGAGGCGCTTATGGTGGAGTGAGTATCTTATTTAATAATAAAATAGGAATTTTCGTCCTTATACATATAATGATATATGGACGAAAATCCCAAACTAATGCAACTTGAAAATTTCAAAGGCAGAATATATTCCTTTCATATTTAAAGGAATTTATTCGAATTCAAGTTCTGATATTTAATAGGTGTTATAGTTTATACGACACAGTTTATATGTCATAAATTGTAATGAATATGGACGTAAAATGATATCATGTCATCATCATGACAAGCAAATAAATCCGACTCCGAACACGCCGGCGTTACAGTTAACAATAGATTTATTCTACGAAATTTAATTAATTTCTTAGAAATTTACCTGGAGGTGTTAAAGACGTACTCTATATTTTAATTTACAAGTACATTTCTATCTTTTCGGATTTTTTCGCGGATTTACTATAAGTTTTGGTTACAAAATGGTTTCATTTAAAATGTCAAATATTTGCGTAAATCTAAGAAAGTATTAAATATATTTCTATTAAAAAGTTAATATACTTTAAAAACACTTTAACGAAAAACTTAAAAAACTTAATAAGTGGGCTTATTTTTTTTAACTTCTAAGAATAGGATTACGTTACCTCAAAAAATAATTTTATAGAATACTTCACGTAACATACGTAAAAAATCATTATATCCAAATTAAATACCTCATTGATCTCATTGAAGTCAGTTAAGAATAAAACTTTCTGTAGATTTAACTTATCACTTATCAACGCCTACTAATAACGTTTAACTATAAATTGTTACTAGCAAAAGCTTGAAGAGTTTCATTCATTTTATACTTTAACAATTTTGAAGAGTGCTCTTATAGTAATATGTATTAAACCAATTTGACGCTAGCAGTTAAAATATTAGATCCATTAACAAATTGAATTATTTCTTATTCTATTTTTATAAGAAAACTAGCGACTCACCCTCGCTTCACTTGGGTTCGTCCTTAGGTAAGTTTTAACTGATATTATGGAATAGATAGACTATAGGTAATTATTATATATACATAGGTAAAAATAAACAGTTCTTAACGTTTTTTATTTTCCAGCTGTTTCTTTGGGTTTTTTCCTATATTTTTTAATCTGAAACCACCCTCAACAAAACGAAAAAGAACTATCCAAATCGATTCAGCAGTTTTTGAGTTTTAGCGAGACTAACGAACGGCAATTAATTTTTATATATACATACATATATAGATATTTTTTCTTCAGAATATATTTTCTCCGAAATAAGCGAATAGTTTTCTTCGAAATCAGTCTTTAGATATGAAATGCAAATCGGAGGAATATACCGCAGTCAAATTTCATGCTTAGCTTAAGAGTCAGTAGGTATTTGCTTCGGATTATTCTAGCACGTATATTAACATTGCAGTACCGTGTATATTACTGCATGAGATATAGTGCTTTATTTGTTATATTTTTTAGTATAAATTATTAGTATAACTTACTTACTTAGTAAACTTTATCTTAAAATCGATCCCTATAATATTTATAACATATACTTATCCTGACATAATTGAGTATATTTTTTTTCATATTTGCATCGGGCACATAAAATTGGATTCATTATTACTACTGCCTCTATATTAGTCGGTTTAAACATATTGGATACAAATGTTCATTAAATATGGAGTCATTCGATATGAAAATGACTGAAAATAAAAAAAAATGTCGCTGGCCTGTTTTAGATTTTGCTCTAACTTTGATATAACTGCTACTTAGCATCCCTAAAAACATACGAGTAATTTACACTAATTTTATTTTTATATGCGTCCGTTTCCGTCTATCCGAATTTAGACTTACAAGAAATGTCATTTTTATGCTTTATCAATTTTAGCTGTAAACATTTTACTATTTAAGATATCTATAGGTTTGAGAAGCATTTTAAAGGGGAAAGCTAATATTTTTCATGCGCTAGATAAAAATTCACTTAGTGAATACCTATCATCAATGACAGGGTGCTGAAAATACGTGTTTTTTTTTAAGATTTTGCGTTTTTTAACTAAGTCCAGCATCTCGACTGTTTGATGTAAGTAACTAATTTCACTTAGAAATTAAGTGTACATATCATAGAAGACTTAAAGCCGAAAATCAACCCGATCAGCCCACTCTTTATATACAAATCATTGCTTGAAATTTTGCACTTTCTTGCCCGGAGTTGGGAACTCGGCAGTGTTTCACCTTCATGCCTCTGATTATATAATTCCCATGAGAAAACGTGTTATAATACAACCTAAAAAAAATTTTATGATCAGAATTACTTGAAACTTGGTATTAATGCTTTTCAATACAATTAAATAAATACGTGTGGTAACATTTTTCGAAATTCATCCCATAAGGGGGTAAAACAGGCAATGATAGTTTGTATGAAATCTACCTATAATTTTTTTTTGTGTTTTAGCGCGATCGAATCTGCGGGCTCTGCTAGTTACTAAAAAGTGCCAGAGCCTACTTTGTATAGTATCAATCATTAAACATATTATTACTTCAACAGTATTACACGTCGAGTACCCAACCTGCTCAGGAGGAGACTGCTCTACACGGCAGCTTCACACAAGTCTGATCCGCAGCCCGGGGCGCCGGCCTCCGCCGGTCGTCCCGAGCTCACATGTCGAGCTCCCTTGACTTATATCAGTTGTAAACTGATAACGCTTCGTACGTTTGTTTGTTTTATTGCTTCTTTCAATGTTTGTATTAAGCTTTCTGATTTGTCATTATTTATACGCGTATAATATTTAGTTTCTAAAGAATGGTTTTCTTTAAGATTTAATTGAATTTTTCTATTGTTTATAGCTAGCTATAATTTGACAATGATAATTTGCTATCACTCAAATGTGAGTCAAATAAGTTAAAGTCATAAACACAACTTTAAAATAAAATTATACGGCCTATATTTTAAGCAAGGAAAATATACATAGACATACATATATGTGTAAATCTAAAAATATCAAAATTCGATGATAATAAGTACCTAATGATTATAGGTTATTATAAATTCTACAAATCACGTGTTTATGACAATTTTGAATAATTTTATAGAAATTTATTAAATTATTTGCATAATTATTCTAACATTTTAATGAAATGATATGAAATATCATAAATTTGACGAGACGATTAAGACTTTATTATAATATTATGTATTAACGTTTTCTGGTATACTATTAGGTTACAATTCTGGCACAAAGGTAATATTTACAATATTATATTATATTTATTTTAATATATTTCTATAGTTTACAATTTATTCTATCACTTAGTTAATGCGTATTGCAAATATATTTTGATTAATCCTTCAATCATCGGATATGACAAGAATCTCGGCGGCGACTAACATGAAATGATATAAATATCATTATAAATCGATACCCTAAATCCATGCATGGATATCGATTGTTTCTAATTGATAATTCATAAAATAACATTAGAATTACAATTGCTTGAAACAAATCTGATCTTTACTGGGTTTTAAATATGACGATTCCATATATGGGATTATAGATGTGGCTGTTGGCTGACGTCGGTCCTATGTGTTGGTATAGGGTAACTTAATTGCATGTTTTCATTATGTCTCACTGTTTTATATTAAGAATAGATAGATGTACACTTTTATCCCAGTCATCGGATCTTACCGAGTAGTATTATCAGGGTCTTTTAATATAACGTGTCTAGTATAAAATTTCAATTAGTAAACAAATATATTAAAATGTTTCAAAGTTAGATAGATCTGAAGCTAAGTGTAATGTATTGTTGTTCATAATATCGCGTAGTTACAGATTGGTGTAAGAAAATTTTAGAATATCTATTTTATTTCAATGTTAATAGCTAAAATCTTCAATTACGTTTGAATAAACGTATACTTTATGCTACTGTTCAATGCTATCCATTGGTACGAGTATGTCTGTAATTAAGTAACAAATCTATTTATTTTCCACAATATAGTACGCACCGACCTGTTGTTTTTAAACCATCGATGTCACTATCCGAATTCCTTTATCCCTCACAATTATAATGTAATAAATGTGAATCCCCTGTGTGATAGACATGATGAATTTTATCATTAGGTTAGAAAACTTGTAATGCTTTAGAGTCTTAAGACTTTGATCGTAATTTAATAAATGTAATTGTTGCTGTTAGTCGATAACTAGCGTAAAATCTCTTGATATATTAATATTGTATGTGTATATTTCTTCTATTATTTCATTTTCTATATCGATATCTGTCTTTGTTTCGAAAGATTTTTTGAATTGTTCTTCAAGTATCATAATACGACACATGTCGTTTTTACGTTAAGTTTTGAGTGTAAAGTATTTAGATTTCTTTCAAAAATGTACATGTTATAGGCGAACCTATAGGGTTTTGCTTGATATTATATACATATATTAGAAAAATTGCCAAAGGCACTACATAAGGAATTCATATCACAGATTATAACGATATTAAACTTTTCGGTCAAATCAAATTTTCCCATACATTTAGTTTTACACTTACGTTTGTCTTTTATACTACGATACCTCCTATAGCTTCTTAAAGATTATTATTATTAAGCTTCCGTCCTATAAAGCTTTTGTCGACAGTTTTGAACAGATATTTTTATTAATGTCACATTTTAGTATATATTGAAAATTTTTGTTTTGATATCTTGTATATTTTTATAAAACATCAATAAATGAGACCACGGCAGTGTTTGCGTTTAAATGAAAGGTAAAAATAATTGTTTTGGCGAAGCCGCATAGAAGCAATTTTAATTAGCTTAAATTTATTTGTTTTATAATATTTAAAATTGAAATACGTAAATCGCCAATCTACGATATAAGCTTGGTCGTCTGGCCTATTTTAAAATTAAATTTTTTTTAGCCAATTGGCAAAAAATCGAGCTCTGTGATCGATTTAATGAAAAAAAGTGCCAAGATTAAAATTAAAATTTTAAGGAGGTGGTTAATTATAATGATAGTGATGGACTCTAAAGGTAGGTTGATATTAAAAAGGTATTATAAGATGTGCGGTAGCGTCCGTCCATCACAAAAAGGCTGAAATGTGTGGAATGCTTTACTTTTAAATTACCGAATATTATTAACATTCAAGTCGAGGCGATTTCGGAACCTTTCAACCCCACGCATGTTCTAACGTAACATGAGTTTTTTTTCTAAGACTCCTACGCGTTTCTACGCGTTCGTGGTCCATTCAATTATATGAATAATTTTTATTCTATATATATATAGTGTTAGTAAATGGGAACCGATCCTATTGATTATGAAATATTTATTTATAATTACGCGAAAGTCATTTTTAATATATGAAATTATAATATAAATGTTTATTGAGTACTTACGTAGTAGCGGCCGCACATTTGCGAGGATTTCGAGGTCTATTAATATCGAGCATTATGATATAATCGATATTTAAGTTTGTATAAAGTCTACACTACAGTGTACACCTGTACGACTATCCTACTTTCACTAATTAATTATCATAGTTCTAATAAAAATGATCTAATATTAAGTTTAACGTTATTCTTCAAATGACTGATTTACATAATCGTTTCATTAAATAGTGTTTAGATTTAAGACATACTATATTTTAATATGTTAACTATTGTTAGAATAAGGGATGTTTAGATCGGATTTTATTCGGAGTATACAGGAGTATAGGCGTGCTGATGTAGCAGTGTTTCTATATAAAATGAAATTGCTTCATGTTTGTTTCAAGTTTAAAAACTTCCCTTGTTAATTTTTGTCCGTTTTTACAACAATAAATGGTTTTTGAACGGTTTGTGATTAAATGTGATTATAAATATTTTAAAGCCTCCAATTAACGGCGTTATAACAATTTTGATTTTAGACATTTAGATAAGATATATCGATCTTACTTTAAAAACAATATAGCAGCTTAATACCAAAAAATATAAAATATGTTATCAATAAACTTAAATAATAAATTATTAATTAATTAATGGATTTTAATAGATTTATTTAATTTATTCAATTAAATATATATTTAATTAAATAAAAAAAGACAAACGTTTGTCCTTTATGCGTCTCTATAAAACCCCTTTTTGGTACTTATTTTTCTAACTTCAGCGATCAAAAAGGGCCTATATAATAATACATACATATATTTAATGATTAGTTTTATCGCATTCTTCGTAATCTGTTTTAATTCCATTCTCCTACATCAGCTCGCTATACTAGCCACGAGAACACGAGATCGTTGAACGTTTACTGCATATATGAAGACATCTAACAACATATCAATTTATTACCAATATGCTCTCATTAGTACATTAAAAATACTATTATTACTTTATCTACTTATCAATACCAAATCAATTCGATTTCAAAATATTGCCCTCTAAGTGAATGCTTTTTATAGGTTTTTTATAATTTTAACTAAGCAAAAAAGTTTCTTTTTTAATTAAAGTAAAAAAATCACAAGTAATTAATATACAACAAACTTTATGGATATAAGCTAATATTTATTTATGATCAAGATTAAAAATATTTACATCCTCTCATACGCTGGCTTAATAAATTTAATTTCAGTTCATGTAGTCATAGATTTTTTTACAGCTTTTTAAAGCTCCAAATTACTTCTAATATCCAGTAAACGATCAATCTAATGCTGCCTTTACATAATATATTACAAGAAAATATCAATTTTATAGTGCTATAGAGTTTGGTAACAAAATATTTGATTCTCCTATCGTCCAGTTTTTATATATATACATACACTACTAGCTTTCAGATGAAAAAACCGCATGGAAATCAGTCCATCCGTTTGAGAGCTACTATGCTAAAGACAGACACACACAGACAGACATCGACGTCAAACTTATAACACCCCTCTTTTTGCGTTGGGGGTTAAAAAGTAGTGAGGTTGACACAAAAACTCTAGATGCATATTGCCTACATATTACGAAGATTCAACGAACAAGAAGTAATTCCGTTCAACAATATTAACTTATGCTTGCACCGCTCTGTTCAATATTAATCCAATGGAAATATTAAATCCATATTTGCCCAATTTTAACAAAAGCGGACATTTTTTGTTTTATCTACCTTTGAAAATGTGGGCTGTTCTATCGATCTATTTTGATACTCTAGCATTCTTATATAAACTAGCCACTCGACCCAATATTTTCCAGGTGTAGTCTAAAGTACAAATATATGTTTATTCATACATACATATGTACACCAAAATTACTGTTTGAACAAATAAATTTCATAGTAACGGAAAAATTCAGGTTCCATAAGCTTAAAAACCATGGCGAGTGCGTACATATTAAAATAACTAAAGTTTCATCATAATCAGATAATATTAGAACACATACACTGAAACAAACGAGCATACTTACTTTTTTTTGTATTGTATATATGTATTGTATGTATACAAATTGCATCTAATAAATCATGATTTACAATTTTACACATTTTCAGCCATATTATGTATTTTATATAAACACTAGCATTCTGTAAATATTCTTAATTATGTAAAATGTAAAGGTGGCATAGTCTCGTAACGTTTTATCAATAAATTCATAAATAACTGATAAGTCCAATA